CAAGAAAGACAGTCTAAAGACAGGAACATGAAGTACATTAGACAGGTCAAGAGAAATGAGAAGGCAAAGGTCAGGTCAAGGCATGAGCATTTTAAATATTAGAGCATTTGATATTGTATGAAAGGCTGGTGTCTAGTAATAAAATAGGGACTATGATTCATGATAGGAATGCGTGTATAAGGACTGAAAATCTGTTGAAGGCAGGAGGCAGCAGGAAATGGAAATACCTTTGACAAGTATGAATAAAGTGCATTTGTATAGAAAAATGGTCCAGGATGGACTGAAACATCATCTTAAGTGTAGGTTATTTGTGTTCTGATGAGCATACCTTAAGTAATATATGGCAAAGCAGGATAATAGAATATCAACAATGAATTGTTAAAAACGTTAATTTGAACTGTTCACGATGAGTTCAAGGGTTTGTAGTAAATGCATATGGCTCAGATGAATTGAAGTGATTTGAATTAATGCAAAATTGCTTTAACCGATAACATACTGTAAATCATAATTAGTGCTGTTTCCAAGGAAAATTCTATTCAGGTAATTTTTACTTGGAAAATCAAGTTTTAGTTATTTTATATTGGTGACTTATATATACTTGATTATGAAAGGTAGTTTGTAAGGAAGAATATTTGGAAATACTGGTGGATCCTAAATGAGAAGTAGCAAAACATGACTGATGATCCTAATTTGAAAGAAAAATGCATTCTGTTCCTTCTTGATTTTGACAAGAGCTTGTAACTGTTTAGTTGAAATAATACAGTACATATTAAGTTAAAGGACAAATAGGCTATAAATTATCTCCCACAGTTATATTACCATAAGGTAAAAAAAATATTTTTTATGATTGTCGTTGTAATGCACTCTGACTCAAGACCCAGTTCTTTACCATGACAGGACATCCCATAATAAAAGGCAGAGAAACTGATGGGTACTCTATAGACATTGTACAGCATATATGTACGGTTGAATTCTGTCAGTTTACACCTAGAATGTTCATTCCTGTTCTTATATCTGTAGTAAAAATGTGTAATGAATTTAACCTCTCTAACATTGAAAAGACTATTAGGACATTATTTAGGTGATATTATATGGTAGTGACAATGAACTTTATGACGAGTCTAGTTAATCAGATTCCTTTTTTTCCTTCTAATGTGAGTGTGGTAAAAGTCTAACATGTATTAGTCCAGTAGTATATTTTGCAAATAGTATCTCCTCTAGTGTAAGTTATCCTGGTTCAAATTTCTGCCAAACCTGAGTGAAATAGGACTGGTTTTCCCTAATTCCTTATTACTGCTCTGTTCAAATTAGAAATCTGAGATGGTTACTAAAAGAGCTTTATACTTAGATTTTTGCATCTTGAAATATATTACAAAAATTGAGGTGTTGATTTCCATTTTTAAAATCTTAACTCGAACATTAAAATGTTATTTGCAAATTTGTAAATCTTAGTTATTTCAATCATTTATAATTATTTCTCATACTGTGAAGCATTAATGTTTTATGAGAATAGTATTTATCAAAATATTACATACTGATATATATTCATAGCACATAAAATTAGCAATTGTTAGAAGCTTTCACTCTTTAACACAGTTGTATCTCGGTAGAATATTTTGCACACTGGTAGAAGAGATCCTTGCACAAGGCATTTGTTTTCAGGTTCATTTATAGGGAGAATCATTTTTATTATGGCATAACATTACTGTCTCCAGTAATAAAGTGTTTAATCCATTTCATCAAGATTAACTTTGCTCATTAAATGGTTCAACAAATTGTTCTTGACGTATGACAAAAATTAAAAAAAAGAATGTAATTTTTTCTGTTACACTTAGTGGATTTTGTTTGTTCTGTTGCTAGGCTGAAATTTCTGCCTGATTCTGCAAACTCTGAATAAATATACATTGAATTAAATTTTTAAATTCAGTATCCTTAAGATGGTGTTCATTCATTTTTTCTTAAGTTTTCTCCCTTTAACCTCTTGCTGATCTAAGTCTCCACCACCACCCAAGACAAATGGGCTCTGTCCCAAGAAACTGAATTGCTCCTTCCTTGGATTAAATCTAAATGCCCCTAATCCTTCCCTGCCTCTTGCCTTCTTTAATAGTTTCTTGTGAAATCCAGCTCCTAGACAAGAAAAAAAGGAGTTACTATCAGCCCTGTTCTAACATAATTTCACTGATAATGCAACCTTTGATGATGGTGCTACTAGAGGTTGCTGCAGATCCAGAAAGTAGCAACCAAGAAAATGACCTGTAGCATTCTTTACAGTTTCCCACTTCCATTATTAGCTGAAAGATGATTGCACATTATGTGCTAATCTAAAATGGCTGTTTTGCAAAGTCTTCTTCAGTCTCCTGTGGTGTCATCCTGGTGGTGTGCCAGGTAGGATAAGAGATGGTTTCCAGCAGCACTACCTGCTGCAATGCAGCAGATATGGGTATGCAATTTCTTTTCATTTAATGGATCTGTTTTCCATTTTTCTTCTTTCTTTTCCTCTTCAAGGGGGGCTCCTTGGCATGGTGAAGAGGCTCTTGGTCTGAGGAATTAGCCCTGTCGGTCTTCTTCCTCAGACCGAACCTAATTACCCCCCATTCTCCCGTCCCCTATCCCATCCTCCCCTTTTTCCATTCCTCCTCCTCCTCCCCACCCCTCCCTTTTGCCCTTTCTCTTTTTGGCCTTTGGGATTTCTCCCACAGGCGCACTAGTTCCTAGGTAGGGGAAAGGACACCGGGGTCCATCCCATTCCGTTGAGGTTCTTGGCGGTGGCGTAGTTTGCCGTGGAATCTGGATTGCCTGGGGATGTCCCGATCCCTCTCCGGTATCCCGGAGTAGCTTTGGGTGTCTTTCGGGCGACGGGTGTATCTCTGGAAGCCACCTTTCGGATTCCGGGGGTGGTGGCTGAAGGAGGTATGCTTTGTGGCGGATATCCGGCCGCCCTCTCTTTTGTCCACCGAGGTAGCTCGGCAGATGTGAGGTTGCTATCCCGGATTGCTGGTTTACTGGCATGAAGGGTAGGGTATGGCACGGGTTCCATGTTGCATCTGCGCTACTAGCGGTGCTGAGGTCCTCTTGGGCGCGGAGGGAGATTTCCGGCCCTTTCATTCCTCCCCGCTCCCCCCTTTTTTATTCTTTTTTTTATTTTTATTTTCTTTTCTTTCTTTTTTTTTTTCTTAAAAACAAAAAGCAAAGGAGTAACCTAACCATGGAGAATCCAATCCATGAACCCACTACCCCCGGGCCCCTTCTTGATACTGCACCCCATTATGACCCTGCCTTGTGTTTAGACCACTCTTCGGACACTCCTGATGCCCCTGTACCTCTTGCTGGTGCTGTTTCCTCACCCGCTTCAGGTACCGGGGCTTCGACTGACTCCTTCGATTTGTCTGAACTCCGCTCTCCTTTGACTATGCTTCCGGCTTCTTCCTCTACGGTACGGCAATTTTCGAATCGCCCGCCCATTTCACGCCGGACCAACTCCGGTCTTACTCCTAAATGCCAACGTCAATCTCCTGATGATGCTCCTTCGTTACCTTCCCATTCTACTCGGAAAAGACCGACACGTCAAGCACTCCCTCTCCACGCTCAGTTTCGGACCACACAATGGACTAAATTCTTTACTTTAAGACCGACTTCTTCTGCCTACCTTTCTGACCATAGTATTGGCAAAGCGCTCCTGCGTCATGTTGGTAGAGATATTTCATTTCATGCTCTCAAGAGCGGTACGTGCATCGTCACTGTCCAGAATGCTACCCAAGCTCATGATCTTTCTCTCCTTTCGAATATCGATAATACTCCTATCACTATTGAAAAACATCTTTCTCTGAATTCTTGTAGTAGTACTGTCATTCTGCCCCATACCATAGTCCAACAGAATTTCCAGTCATGTGGCAATGACATTTTTGAACAGCTGGAACTCCAGGATCTCCCAATCCTCAAAGTAGACACTTATGTCCTTCCTGCCCGGGGGCGGAGACATTACCCTTGCAATGTGGCTCGTTTAACTTTTGACAGCCGAGAACTCCCGTCCTCTGTATATGTCGCGGGACATCGGTTACAAGTTCGAAAGGTGATACCTACACCGCAACAATGTAGAAATTGCTGGCGTTTTGGTCACCCAGCGAAATATTGCAGATCTATGGCCGAATGCCCAGTCTGTGGTGCCGACGACCATTCTAATACATCTTACAGTCAACCTCCATCTTGCCTTAATTGTAATAAAGCTCACCCTTCGTACTCCCGCCGTTGCCAGGTCTACTTAAATGAACGTGAAATCCGTTGCCTCAGAGGCAGAAG